GGGGGGGGGAAATCCCTGGAGCCAAAGCCCCAGCCCTCTGCTCCTGCACCCACCAAGACACAGGAGCAGGGATCACAAGGAGGCCCAGCCCAGGCCTGGCCCGGCATTGATACTACTCCTGGGGCCAGTGTCCAGCTGGTGTCCCCATGGGGGGGGGCAGGGAGGGAGATAACAGGGGTGGGGCTGCTACAGAACCTGCCAGGGTAGGGTGCAAAGTAAAATCCATGTGGCTCAAGGACTCTGCTTGCTTGCAGGGGGATTGCTCCCAGCCAGAAGAGCCCTGAGCTCCCAGCCTGGCTCCCTCTGACCATGATGTCCTGGGCAGGGGTGGAGAGGGGTGGTAGGGTGCCTCTGCCTCTTGAGAACACCTAAGATCTAAGCCACCAAGATCCAAGCACTGCCGTACACAGCACCAACCTGCAGTGCTGTGCTATGCTGGCTGGCACCCACGTGGTAATGGCCAGCACTGGGCCTGCTAGCAAGGAGCTGCAGGCGGGAGGGGTCTCAGCAGCCTCAGTGCATGGGGAGAGACAGAGGCAGCGGGTGAGCAGTGGAGGACAGAGGAGGCAGGAATACACTTGGGGTCCAGCCTATGCAAAGCTGCCCAGCCACAGTAAGGCCAGGATACCCCCAGAGCCACCCACCCTCCATGGCTCAGGAGAGTAGCCATAGGGAGGCAGGGCCAGGAAGGGGGGCCTCTTCCCTGATAGACTCCAGGCATCCTAGCTCTCAGCTCCCCCTCTTCCCACCTCTCTAATCTCACTTCCTTCCCAGGTCTGGAATAGGACCCAGGAGCCCTAGCTCCCAGCACCACCTTCTACTCTGCCTGCTAGATCCCACTTGCTTCCCAGAGCTAGAAAGAAAAACCCAGGTATCTGGGCTCGCTACAGCCCCCTTCCCCTCCACTCTGAACCTTGGCCTGTGCTGTCCCCTGGGGCTAGGAAGGTGGCCACCCCCCTAAAGCATTGCTCCACAACACCCACCTGGAGGCAGGGCACCCACTCCCTATTAACCCTTTGGGGGCAGGGAGGTCATGCAGCCGTGAGGACAGGGTAGCACTAACCTGACAGGTGATGGCAGGGGGTGAGGGTGGGGGGTCCTGACTCGTACAGACACAGGTCTGCAGTGCCCAGTGGCTATCCAGTTCCCTCCCTACCCCCATCTCTGTGACCTTTCCCAGCTGGCCAGGCAGGAGCAGGCAGCAGAGAGCACCCCCAGCCTGTCAGCCCCAATAAGGATCAGTGAAAGAGCAGGGCAGTCAGCAGGCATTGCAGCCAAGCTTGGGGGTGGGGGGGCTGCACTGGATGTCCTGACAGAGCTGAGGAGTGAGAAGTGCTTGCTGTGCCCCTGGTGCTTGGGCCCCTTCCTTGTGCCCAGAGGCTGCAATGGTTTCAGGGCATAGGAAAGGTCCTTGCCCAAACTTTACTGGGCATCCGTACAAATGCCAGTCATACAACCTGCTTCCCTGGCCCACCCAGGGCCACCATACAGTCCTGTTGGGGTGGGGGTGGGGGGGAGTGGTCTCCTTTTCCCTGGTGCCCAGCACATAGCTGCAGCCACTGGGGCTTTATCATGTGAGGGTGCCCCAACCAGCCTTAGGGTGCAGATTTAATTGGTACCAGTGCAAGGGAAGATGAAATAGGGAGAGCTGGGGCTGGAGAGGAAAAGAGGGATCTTTCCTGGGCATCCTCTATGTGTGTTAACTTTCCCCTGGATTTCATCTCAAGTTTGTTGAGTCCATCCGTAGCGTCTGCTGCCATGTCCGGGGGCTAAATTTCCCACAGTACACTGCATGCTCCCACTAAGGGGGACTGGGGGTGGCCAAGAAGCAATGCCAGGGCTGGGCTGTGCTCACCATGGAGTAGGCAGATATAGCTCAACATAGCCCACACCCCTGCAGTCAGTCCAGTGCTGAGGGAAATGGCAAGGGCTGTGCCAGCCCTGCCCTTTGTGGAAGCGGGTGTGGGGGGAGTTAGCACCCATCTCTCCCCTGCACAATGCAAACAGCTTCCTACTCCCCGCCTGCCACAGACCGCACCAGTGCTAGTGAACCCAGGAGTCTGGGTCATGGACCACATCGTTTCTCAGGTTCACTCAGCATCACACCCATGCATGAAAAGAAAAAGCTTGCCAAATCCCAGCCGAGCCCCATCACACACCCTGCCCATGCCCCTGGCATGTAAGCAACCATACAGTAAACAAACTGGAGACAGGGAAGGGAAAAACCAAAGGCTGCTGGGGACAAGCCAGTCACCCCTGCCAAGTGGGAAGCCAGGAAAACACCAGGCATGGGTGAAGAGGCAGTTGAGGAAGAGGCTGACTAGCGGGGAACGTCCCCAGTGGGCAGGGGATAGAGGAATCCCCCACTGCCAGCCCCGGGTGGCCTCTTTTAAGGGGTCACAGTCCAAGAAGGGCTCAGACTATGCCTGGTGCCTTGCGTCCCATCGCTGGAAGGAGGGGACAAGTCACTAGGGACTTGGGGGCCGCAGCTGGGCTGGGGGAAGGGCTAAGGCCCTGGTGGTTCTCACCTCTCCCCACCTCCATCACACTGATGTCACTGCGGTAAGCACAGGTCTGGCTAGGCACAAGTCTGACGGCCTGTTCCTTCCTGCTGGTGTCAGAGGGCCCGTGTTTCTCTGCTGTCACCAGGGAGAGGCTGGGGCTGAGTCACAGCTGTAAGTCCTGGGGAGGGTTGTTAGGAGCTTGCCGCAGGCCAGGGTACCTTCTCCTGGGCCCCGGGGTGCATGGCCAGTGAGCAGGGGTAGCTCTGCATACCCAGACCCAAGATGGGTAAGCCCACGGGGCACAGCCTGCTGCCAAGAGCCTGGGCCTGGGATGTAAGGGGGCAGGGATGAAGGCCAGAGAGTACAAGCCCTAGGAGTCTCCCTGTATGAGCTTGTTCCCCACACTGCTCCCAAACTCTACTGCAGCCATGCCAGGGGCACCAACAGGGCTGCGGAGGAGTCTGCACATGGCTCAGCCCCAGGTTGGAGCAGCAGAGACCCCCTTTGTCCCTCCCCTGCCATGGGGGTGCCAGCCCCACTCTAAGCCCAGGTGCACCCCTATGAGTGCTCTCCTGCTGGGGCAAGAACAAAGGCCACAGACTACAAGCCCTAGGAGTCTCCTTCTAGCAGCCTGCTCACTCGCCACTCCCACGCTATTGCAGTCCTGCCAGGGCCTGTCACACCTGGCAGCAGGTCACCTGGGGGCCCACATCCAGAACACATGGAGAGCAGGAGGGGAGACAAAGCACCCCCTCAGTCCTGACCAGCAGCCCCTGCCACTCTGGCTAGTTGGAGGGGGGCGGGGGGTGCAAGCAAGGAAGGAACAGCTGTGCCCCCTCCCTGCTATGTGAGGGCAGTCAGAGAGGGGGGCGTGGGGCAGCAGGGCCTGCACACCAGCCCAGGGCTTATCCCAGCCCACTTGCTGATACAATCCCCAAGTAGGGAAGGGGCTGGAAGAGGGCGATCCAAGTGGAGGTGGGGAGGCAATCATGCCTCGAATCAGCAGGGACAGCACAGCCTGAGCAGTAGGAGCCAGGAGAACCAGGGCTCTGCTCCCATTCTTACAACCTGAGCCTCA